TAGGAGAGGTTCATCTGGTTTAGTTAAGTTAATCGTTCTGTTTTGTGACAGCTTTTTTGTTCCTAGAATTTCAGATAAGGTTTTCCAGGTCTTTTTCATATCACCTTTTATGTCATGAAATCTGTTTTCATAATGCAATTTTTTTTGACCTCCTTATAAGATTGGTTAGTATTGAATGAGTATAATGTTTTGCGAGATCCTTTATTAGACCCATTCTGTACTGTTTTTCATATAGATGTTTTTTATCAATAGATTTGAGGATGCTGTTTGTATGCCAGGGGCTGTTTAGTCTCTCTGCTGTGATCTGCTTAGTTTTTACTGGGCAATACTTGTTATAGAGGTTTTGGGTTTTTTGTAAGAAAATATTAACACATTCATCAATATCGAAGTTGTCTGCTAGCTCGTTTTGCCAGTGTCACTAAATGCTGAAATAAAAGTTAACAGATGACTCGTCGTGTAGTAGGAATGTGATCTTAGTTGTGTCCTGGGGCACCTTACACATGTTGGTTATGAGAAAGATGGGGTAGTGGTCAGTGGTGTTATGTGATTATGCCTGCTTTTAACAGGGATAGTGTTTGTCCAGATATGGTCTAGTAATGAGGCATTTGTGTCAGTGATTCTTGTAGGTTTTGTTGTTGTTGGTAGAAGCAAGCAGCTGTTCATGGTGTTAGTGAATTCAGTCACTTGTGGGTCATGGTCATGGATGAGATTTATGTTGAAGTCCCCCATAAGTATTAGGTGGTTTATTCATTTCAACGATAGTTATTACGTTTCTTAGTTTTTCACTAATAGAGTAAATATTGGAGTGAGGAACTCTATATATTGCTCCGACTGTTAGAGGTTTTGTAAGGTTTTTTTATTTAAATTCTGCAAAGGTATATTCACCATGTTCATCCCTTGTGCAAGTAGAATTTATACATTCTAGTTCATCAGAGTAGTATATAGCTGTTCCACCTCCTAATTGTTCTGGCCTACAATTGTGTATGGCTGTGTATACAGGTATAGAATAGATCAAACCATACCCCGGCCGGGATTGAACCCGCGGGTTCAATCCCGGCCGGGGTATGGTTTGTTTGCAATCGTGTCATTACGATTTCGTGAGTCATATAGAATAGATGTTTGTAACTTCATGTTTTAGCCATGTTTCAGTGAGAGTAATGATAGACATACGTACTGACATTTAGATTATTCAGTAGTGCTTGGAGGTCATCATAATGCTTGCTTAGTGATCTGACATTATAATTGAATACTGTTATGTTATTGTTGGCACTAAGCAGTGTCTTAGCCTGACCAGCAGTATAATAAAGGGAATTGTTGTTAGGATTATGTGTGTCATTTAATAAAAGGTTAATGTCAGGATCGATGTTTGCAATCATATGGCTAATGCAAGTTTAACAATGTATAAATAGTATAAAGATAACTGTTATGTTGCATTGGAGGTGATATGAGAGCTTATACAAGCAGTACAGAGTGTAGGTAGCAGAAGAACTATTCTTCAGATTGCGCAGATACTTAAAAAGTAATAATAATAAAAAAAATATAAAGTTAAAAGATGGTAAAAAAAGGTCTTAAATAAAATTTAAATGGTAAGATTTGACTTAAAGCACAAAATTTAGGCAAGTAATAACACAAATTGTACGATTAGAAAATAAAAAAATGAACTATTAAGACTAGGTATATCAATATTACCTAACAATGCTTGCACTAATGCTAGACAGTAAACAAACAAAGGGGGTTTTGTATTAAATCAACTATTATAGACTGCACACAAGTTAAAAAAAAAAAAAGTTACAACTGTATAAAAAATAAGAAATATTTATCTTTTTAGACAGTAAACACTTACTTTGGATTGTATTGCACTACTTGTTTTAGATTACACACACAAGAAAATTAAAAATAAAGTAGTTAACTAGTGGAGGACTGCAAGAAGATAGTTACAAACATATAAAAACATAACAAAACAAACAGAAGTGTATATCTTTTTAGGCAAACAAGATGGTGATCTCGAGGTGTTTAACAAGAATATAAAATATGAGGTAGTGATTGGACAGCTTAGAATCACTGCTGTTAGTTTGACAATATGGAAATGAGAATAAGGTTTTACAGAAAAAATTGGATGAAAAAAAAAAAAAAAAAATTTTTAGGATCTCATAACACTACTTGTGGAAGTGGGTACAAACTGCATAGGTATGTGTACATAAATGGAGCTAACTCTTCCACACAACCAATTACAGTTGGGGTCCCACAGGGAGGTGTCCTTGGCCCTCTCCTCTTTCTCATTTACTTGTATATCAGTGACCTACTGAATACATCACAACTACTCAAACCCATATTTACAGATGACATAACATGCGTCTTCTCTCACCCAAGCCCAGTCATACCGGACAACACTGTCAATGCTGAATTGCAGAAAATATCTACTTGGATGACGACTAACAAACTTACTCTCAAAACTGACAAACCCTATTTCATTCAGTTTGGAAACAGAGCCACAAATGTTCCACTTAACATAACACTAAACAGATCACCCATCACAAGATGCACAAAGGGAAAATTCCTAGGAATCCACCTTGACAGTATCCTCAAATTCCAGACCCATATACAACAAATTTCCAAGAAAATCTCTAAAACAGTAGGCATACTATCAAAGATATGGTACTATGTTCCACAATCAGCTCTCCTTGCACTGTATCACTCGCTCATCTACCCTTATCTCACCTATGGAATTTGTGCATGAGGATCAACATTAAATCACCTGAGACCACTGATAACCCAGCAAAAGGCTGCAGTCAGAATAACAAATTCCCACTCCAAACAGCATGCTCCACCAATATTCAGAAGTCTAAAACTACTCGCTGTAAAGAACATCCATACTTATTCTTGCGCCTACTACACACTTAGAACACTACACTCGAACATAAGCCCTCCACTCGAACTTCTCCTCACCAACCTTAACAGGACACACGACCATAACACAAGGCGCAGATCACTTTTTAATGTACCTGTGTCCACATCACACTGTAAGAACCCTTTGCAAATAAAGGGCCCCAAAATTTGCAATTCATTACCAGTAAATACTAAAGTAACCCAGTCTGGACATCAATTTAAGACTCTTCTCAAAAACCATCTACTCAGCCTAAATACTCAATACTTAAATTTGCCAAAAGATCTCCCAATTACCTAAATCTAAACACTTCAAAATTTAGATACCCAAAGCTCATACATAACTTAATACTGCAGTGTAGTATAAATTTTCTTCTTCTTTCAACAAACCAGCCGTATCCCGAGACAGGGTGGCCCAAAAAGAAAAAACAAACGTTTCTCTTACACCAAATTGTAGCATTCTCATACTGTAAACTATTTTCACCAATGCTCAACATATATTCCAATAATATAACTTTAATATTTACTGTTGATATACACAACCTACAAAATACTTTCAAATTGTCCCAATGTAATATCCCCAGATTATAACTTGAGTACATACACTTACTGTTTACTATAAATAAAAACAGATGTACCTAAGCAGCTGGAACTGATCACCATTGAACGTCATAGTGGAGAACAACACAATGTTCAATGGTGGTAAGTTCCAGCTGCTTAGGTTTGGAAAAAGCAACTCAAAAGGAACACTATATACAATAAACTCAAGAGGGTCACCAAATAGAACGTAAGGAACATGTAAAGGACCTGGGAATAGTTATGTCAGTGGAACTTTCTTTGAAAGACCATAACAAGACAAAGATCACGACAGCCAGGAAGATGATGGGGTGGATCTGTGGGTATTGAGAACTTTCAAAACAAGGGAAATAATGCCAATGGTGGCACTCTTCAAATCGCCAGTGCTCCCTCACTTAGAATATTGCTCAGTGCTGACGGCCCTGTTCAAATCAGGAAAATATCAGAGCTGGAGCAATACAGAGATCATTTACGGCTCACACTGAGCCTGTAAACCACCTAAACTACTGGGAACACCTATAAGTCTTGAACATGTATTCGTTGGAGCGGAGGAGAGATACATGATAATATATACAGTACCTGGAAAATATTAAGAGGGCCTGGTCCCAAATCTGTACACTGCCATAACATACTGGAGTGAGAGATATGAAAGTGTACAATAAACCCAGTTAGAAGCAGGGGTGCAGTGGGGACAATAAGGGAATACTGTATCAACATCCAGGGTCCCAGACTATTCAACATCTTACCAGAAGATATCAGAAACATGGCTGGGACAAGTGTAGAAGCCTTCAAGAGGAAACTGGACAAGCATCTTCACAGGTGCCAGATCAACCAACAGCCCATCAGTCTGCCAACCACTCAGAATCCACACACTAGGCTCATCATGCCATGCAGTTACACTACATTTAATCACCTGCATTAAACTGTCATCAGTAACTGCATGGCTAACTATCACCATTATCATAAGTCGTCAGAGTTTGTCTGCCTAACTTTACAAGTGGTGTGTTTTGTTTGTTGTTATTAAACCGTAACATGTATGGTATATACAATATTTTACAATGTTTTCATGTGTTTTGTGACCGTTCGTGGTTCAATAGATTAAGAAAGCAGTACTGTAAGTAAATACTATTATTATATTTCCCTACAATATATTTGCACATCAAAACATTTGCAAATGATCCAGAACAGTATTATTATATTTCTCTAAATATTTGCACACCAGACATTTGCGAATTTTCAAGATTCATGAGGTTCTTCCCCTAACCCTCGCAAATGTGGAGGGCCTCCTGTATAAGATTACCTATTTACCACCATCACCAATGATGCTTACCAGCATCTCTTTACTGTTCACCAACTCAAGGTGTAGCAAGTAATACGTTATAAACCTTTATCCCCAGAATATGCAGGCCAAAATTGGGGTGTACTTATATGCTGGAAAATATGGTAATGTGAAAATGGCCTTATGAAGATTATCTTGGCAATATTTTACTCAATTACCAGAATTCTTAAAGTCCAGAGGTTCAAAATGAAATTTAACTGAATATGTTTTATCCTTTATTACAAAATAATAAAGCACCTTCCATATACTGTGACTTCCTTAATTTGGCCATATAAAATAATAAAAACTCATATTCTTGCACTCATCATAAAAGTTTAATAATAATCTCCAAAAATTTAACTAAATAGGAATGACAATAAATTCAAATAAAAAAAAAGCAAACAAAAATTCTTCTTCCATTCATTAAAAAGGTTCAATCTAAAAAAATAATGTAGATTAATAGTAATCAAATTAAAGTATATTAACAAAAGTGCTTTCTTTCTTTAATATTTCATTATATTGACACATATTAGAAAATTATCTAAATTTGTAGAAAATAATTACTTTGTACAGATCCTATTTTCAAGCAAGCCAATGCCTGTGCTGAAAATAAATATTTACAAGTCTTTCTATCACTTTCATTTATCATTAACGTTTCATCCAAACCACAGACTTACACTTTATTTGCCTCACTTGTAATATATGTACATGTCTTTAATAAAGGTAACAAATTCTATGAAAAGTTTCTAAAAATATTTTGAATATCACAAATATTCATTCCCATACTAGTTAAGTTTTTTTTTTTTTGAAGCTTCTCACTCAGCCACTGCTTAATAGCCTCACAGTATAAAACACAACCTAGCCATGAGTTTGATCATCTTCGACAAAGTCATATGCTTCTTCTCTTGACACACATTCCACATGGGAAACTTTATTTCTGAATTTAACACCATAGAATTTGTTGGCATGTTCCAGCAATTCCGGTCTGAAAGTGGTTGTGATAAACTGAGCATCTTTACTCAGCTCATGAATCATATCTGCCACTGCCTTCCTATGCTGAGCATCAAGAGCCTGAAAAATAAAAAATTCTAACTTACAGAAATCTTCTAGGTACTTATTTCACAAATATGCATTCTTAAAAAAATTCTAGCACACATTTTAATATTACAATAATATTCTGCATGCAAGTGCTAATTCTCATTAATGTCAACTATAATTTGAATGATTGCCAGACTTCTATTAAATTTAAGGAGTATGCCATATTTCATATTCAAACTCACCTGGTCAATTTCATCAAAGAGATAGAATGGTGCTGGATCACACTTTTGAATAGCAAAAATAAGAGCAAGAGCTACAAGAGACTTCTGACCACCTGAAAGCTGATTCATTTCTCTCATTTCTGCATTTCGTCCAGTAAAGGATACTCTGATACCAACCCCAGAGAAGTTATCCACTGTACCCTGTTCTTCTTGCTGAAATAATGGAACAAGCATGACCTATTATTAAAACTAACTGAAATGTATCCCAATTATCTGGTTTTTAACTTTTCTTAGCATTCACTTTAACCTGACTACACTGAAATACAGATAGTAGTATGAGACTTCATAAAGCACCTAAGAAGTGGGAGGTTATCAGGCTTGATCTATGAATATAAAAGCATCACAATTATCACCAAAATCTCTGCATTACTTAATAAGAATGAATATACAATCTGATAAAAAAAATAAGCCTCTGACATTATAAACAGCAGCATTATGTACTAAAGAGGTTGCTCATACCATTTTATTACATCCTACTTGAGGCACAAAAATCAGACTAGAGGGAGAGAGAACTGAGAAAGTGAATATATTCAAAGATTTGGGAGTACACAAGTCAGCAGATAAGACGAGGTGAAATCATAGAATAAAAAAGGGAAAAGGGGAATTGGCGTGTTGAAGCATCTCCATAAAAGTTTAATTTTGGAGGCAAAAAGGGCAGTTCCACAGTATAGTGGTACTAACACTTCTGTATGGGCTTTATATAATGCAATAAGGTGTAGGCAGTGGAGAGAGTCTTGTTTGAGAGTAATGTGCGACGTGAATATTAGGACGTGAATCAGAGGACTGAGGAGAATTGTTGAGGTAGTTCAAGCATTAACCCTTTCAGGGTTTTGGACGTACTAGAACGTCTTACGCACCAGGGGTTTTGACGTACTAGTACGCCTAAATTCTAGAACCCTCAAATCTAGCGAGAGAAAGCTGGTAGGCCTACATATGGAAGAATGGGTCTATGTGGTCAGTGTGCGCAGTATAAAAAAATCCTGCAGCACAGTGCGTAATGAGAATTTTTTTTTTAACCATGTTTTTGAATTAAAACAGCGACTTTGCACTGTATTTTCGTATGGTATTTATTGTTATATTCTAGTTTTCCCGGTCTCATTTTATAGAATGGAAGACATGTTGCAGAAATTGAGATGATTTTGACTGGTTTTACAATGCAAAGTACCTTGAAATTGAGTTCAAAGTAGCAGAAATGTTCAAATTTTACAAAAGTTCGAAAGTAAACAAATCATGCTAAGCGTCCAATATACGTCAACTGGTGAGTCTAATATTCTTTCACAAGTGCGCCGATATTATTTATACCATTTCTAGACTAATGCAGTAGTCTGCATAACAGTAAATCTTATATTTTTTTGTGAGAATAAAAACTCAAAGTGGGAAGCAAAAGAATGTAAGAGGGGCGTGAGGACGTGACTAATGAACAGAGGAAATGTTATTTTAGTGCCAGGAATGTCTTTCTTGTTTATTCTTGACCCTATTTGGAAACTGGCATTTTTTTAAATGTGTGTGAAATTGGCAAAATTGCTAAATCCTGACCACTGTATTGATAGTTGAAATCGGTAAATGGGTGGTTTCTTGTACTCATTTGATAGAAAAAAATGGAGTTCTAGCAAAATAGTTATGATTTTTGTCGACTAGTACACTGAAATTGGCCGAAAATAGGGCTCAAAGTAGGCAAAAATCGATGATGCGTAAACACTGTCGAGACCGCTAACTTCGCAAGAGCATAATTCCGTAAGTTATCCATCAAATTTCATACTTTTGGTGTCATTATGATCGGAAAAAGATTCTTTATCTTTTCATAAGAAAAAAGAATTTCTTCTTCTTTTTTTTTTTTTTTTGAAATTTGGGCGACCCTGAGAACAAGTCTGGGAGAGGGCCTAGGGACCCTGAAAGGGTTAAGAGAGGATGGGGCAGAATAAGATGACCAAGAGTGAATAAATATGAGGTGGAAAGAAGAGGGGGTGAAGGTCATCTCAGGAAGGGTCGGAGAGGTGGAATAATGCCAGTGGCTTGAGCATCCAACAGGTTTGTGTAAGTGTTAAATCTAAATAAAAACAAGTGGTTTTTTATGGCATGACATGCTAATAGAATGGGAGTAATGTAACATTTACAAAAAACGAGTAAGCCAGACTCGAGTCCCGATGGTGGTAAGGACATTACCACCACTCTGGAAGGCTGGGGGATACTGCAGTTCAGAGGGTCATTTGAGTTGTGTCTGCCCACTTCTGGTAGGAAAAGCATTCAATTAGTGTTGTTGTTAAGAGGTCACTCTAACTTGGTGGAAGATAGCCTATGCTAAAATTTACACTGACAATAAAAATGGGAATTACACAGGGCAGTATTCAAAGCTCTCTCCCAAACTTCCTTTACATCAATAACCAAATGCCATCCAAGAGCTCAAACACTCTTTGATGACTTTTTGTGTAACACTAAAACAAAATAATAATAATAATAAAAATAATAATAGTAGGGTGTCAAATAACAATAGATCAGATAGTCCATGAAAACTAACCTCACTCTCATCATCCTTATTATTTTTCATGACCAACTGAGCATGTCCTTGAGGTGCTAGCTTCTTGAAGACTTCACTGAAATATCTGGATACTTGTTTGAAGGTAAATTGAATGGCTTCATATTTACGGTGCTCGAGGACATTCATAAGTTCCTTAATCTTGTCATACCTGTAACATTATGATACAGACATGACTGAGATGATGCATTACTTGTATTTATCAACATAGTTTTGAAATGCAGTACAGCTATCTTTTCAACAAACTTAATTACAGAAAATAAAAATCCAAGACAAAACTATTTCCCCCAATGAAAGCTTACCCTCTATCTAACTCATCTTTCCTCATCACAAGCTTCTCTTTTTGTTCAGAAAATGATATGAACTGATCCAGGGCCTTCTTGTTAACATGTGAATACTTCTTTAATTCCATGTTAGCACCTTCTAATTTCTTAAACAGTTGCTTAGTTGCTAGATTCTGAAAGAACAGAAATATAATATATTAAGATATAGATATATTTTTAGTTTTCAAAATGAATGATATAAATGTATATAAGATTATCAAATGATTTAGATAAAGAAAAATTGGATATCAAATTGGGGAGGAGGAGTATGGAAGAAGTGAATGTTTTCAGATATTTGGGAGTTGACGTGTCAGCGGATGGATTTATGAAGGATGAGGTTAATCACAGAATTGATGAAGGAAAAAAGGTGAGTGGTGCATTGAGGTATATGTGGAGGCAAAAAATGTTAACTATGGAGGCAAAGAAAGGAATGTATGAAAGTATAGTAGTACCAACACTCTTATATGGGTGTGAAGTTTGGGTGGTAAATACTGCTGCAAGGAGGCAGTGGCGATGTCCTGTCTAAGAGCAATGTGTGGTGTAAATATTATGCAGAAAATTTGGAGTGTGGAAATTAGGAGAAGGCGTGGAGTTAATAAAAGTATTAATCAGAGGGCTGAAGAGGGTTTGTTGAGGTGGTTTGGTCATTTAGAGAGAATGGATCAAAGTAGAATGACATGGAGAGCGTATAAATCTGTAGGGGAAGGAAGGCGGGGTAGGGGTCGTCCTCGAAAAGGTTGGAGGGAGGGGGTAAAGGAGGTGCTGTGGGCGAGGGGTTTTTTGGACTTCCAGGAAGCGTGCATGAGCGTGTTACATAGGAGTGAATGGAGACAAATGGTATTTGGGACCTGATGATCTGTTGGAGTGTGAGCAGGGTAATATTTAGTGAAGGGATTCAGGGAAACCGGTTATTTTATATAACCGGACTTGAGTCCTGGAAATGGGAAGTACAATGCCTGCACTCTAAAGGAGGGGTTTGGGATATTGGCAGTTTGGAGAGATATATTGTGTATTTTTATACGTATATACTTCTAAAGCAAGCGTGCATGAGCGTGTTAGATAGGAGTGAATGGAGACGAATGATAATTGGGACCTGACGATCTGTTGGAGTGTGAGCAGGGTAATATTTAGTGAAGGGATTCAGGGAAACCGGTTATTTTCTTATAGTCGGACTTGAGTCCTGGAAATGGGAAGTACAATGCCTGCACTTTAAAGGAGGGGTTTGGGATATTGGCAGTTTGGAGGGATATGTTGTGTATCTTTATACGTATATGCTTCTAAACTGTTGTATTCTGAGCACCTCTGCAAAAGCAGTGATAATGTGTGAGTGTGGTGAAAGTGTTGAATGATGATGAAAGTATTTTCTTTTTGGGGATTTTCTTTCTCTTTGGGTCACCCTGCCTAGGTGGGAGATGGCCGACTCGTTAAAAAAAAAAAAATCTAAAGGGCTGAGGCAAGTAGAGCTTTCTGCTCTAGCATGAAAAAAGGGCATATCGTATTTGAAAAATGGGTACAGATATACGATAGGAAAGACAGGTCTAGGTACAAATACCTCTACTGCAACAGTACTAATGCAACTATGGTATTCATGCTACTTATTTTATAACCTAAATTAGTTAAGGATAGCAGAGGAACAAGGAAGCTTCAAGAAGGGAAGACGGTATGTACTACAAAGTGACACATTACAAACTGACTCCATACGTGGAATTAAAGGCAATTTATGACAAATGACAAAATGTTATGAGGCAGGAAAGAAATAGAATATATCCCCTCCCTTTGCAAACTAAATATACATACAAAAATATTCATAAATCATTGTACCTGATATTTATCAAAGGCTTCAGAAGGAAGAGATCCCAAATCCCTTATCTTTTTGGTGCATTCATCAATCTTCTGATGCAGAAGATTTTGTTTTGATGCCATTTTCTCTAAATCCTTAGCATCTTCTTCCATTCTCTCCATTACTTCCTTCTCTTTTGCTTTCACCTTTTCTAATTCAGATTTTAAACTCTGGAAAGACAATAGCTTTTTAGAAATGACTGATCAACAATTTTACGTGAACCTTTCATTGCAAATACAGTATCAAAATATTAAGCTGTAAAAATACATAGTCAAAAAATAAAAAAAACTATAAACTACAAATACATTGAGTACCAGCACCAAGACAACCTTTCCTTGTAGACTCCAAGCATAAACAGAGAAAACAGAATGCACTGTTGCCATACCTAGGGTTAATTATTATAATTAGGGAGAAGTGTTAAACCTGCAGGGGTATACAGAGCCCAAGAAATGGGGGATTTGATCCAAGGGGAACAGTCCCAATTCCTTGGATCAACAGCAGCTCACTAGCGTCAGGGAACCTCCTTTAAGGTACTGTTGCACACAATACATAGTACAAAAACTTACCAACATGCATATATACATGTTGTTATATTTTGCTATACATGTATTACAATTAGATCTGCAAAGTGCAGTTTTGCTTATATGTGGTGACCCACTTCTACCAGCAATTTGCTATATGCAGTAAAACAATCACTCTTATGGCTAGGGCCTCTATCCATGGCTCCCAGTCTACCCACCCTCCACCACACCTCACAAACAACCCTCCTTTCCTTTCTGAGTGAGCCAACAGCTCACATTCAAACATAATATAAATAATAAATCTACAGTTCTTTACTAATCCCCCCCCCCCTCTAATTTAGACAATTTTTATTTAACATACTGGCTGTCTCCCACCAAAGAAGACCTTCACATACATTAATAATAACATTTACAGAGTATGAATATTTTCAGCAAAAACTAAATGTAAAAATTAATATGTGAAATTGGAAAAGTCCAAGAACGAATCCACATCTATTATGCATTGTAATGGAGTCACTATTATGTGAATTTGCTTTATGTGCCACTGGATAGTAATACATATATTGCATAAAGCAGAGACATCTGTACTCTGTCTTATTTCTTATGTATGTGTTGAGGTGCAGAGGTCTGGACCTATAAACTACATGTCACGTTTCATGCAGCTACCGAAATACTGTGTATCTAAATATCATTACTTTTTGACTGGGTTCAGCTGTAACTTTTGTCTCCTATAAGTTAAGACAAATACAGCTAAGGAGATGAATAAAATTTTTTCTCTTCTTTTAATACCACCTTCTTAGGCATAACCTTACCTAAATATTTTATGTACTAACCCTAGTTCTGCTTGGCATGTTTTTTTTTTTTTTCAACAAGTCTGCCATCTCCCACAGACCATGGAGACCCATTCTCTCACATGTGAGCCTACCAGCTTTCTCCTGCTTGATTTGAAGCCGCTAGAACTTATGCGTATAGATACGTCAAACGTTATCTCCTATGACGTATTTATACGACCGCGACAGTCAAAATGTTTATATATATTACTGATCTACAGTAAAACAAAAATTACTACAGCTTTTACTTTTTCTTTCTTTTGATGTTCAGCAACTTTCTTCTCAACCTCCTTGTACTGTACAGCCACCTCTTCAACTCGGGCATCAACTCTCTGGATTTCACTTTGGCTGTGTTCCAGCTGACGCTTACGGTCCTCTACAGAGATTTCTTGCAGTGCCTAGAAAAAAAAAAATATCTATACACTTTTTTTTTTTCAACAAGTCGGCAGTCTCCTACTGAGGCAGGGTGACAAACACACAGAAATTAAAAACAATGTATGGGGAATTTCCTGCCAAAGGGCCTAAAAAGAAAGGAAATATTTGCCATCAAATGATCCACCAAACTTAATTTTTAAGAAATTCTTTCTGTACATTACATTCTCATTAATTAAGGAACTGTGTTCAACTGATAACTGAAATACTTTGTATTACAAGCTTATCCAAAGACTACAATCCTGTTAAAAAGGGACTTCTATGATATTACCACAAATTCTAAACACAAATCCGTTGCCACCTTACTTTATTCGTTAGTTTCCCATCACTTTCAAGGTTTTGTTATAAGTTTTTCTACTCTCTGATACCAGCCATGGGTAAACCCAAAATACCTTTCTTGATCAGCAAAAGCACAAGCAATAAATGATCTCAGTGAGTAAACACTATGAATTATACCTGCATTAGCTCATCCTTTCTTCTGTTAAGATTATTTGTAAGAAGGTTCTCCAGCTTGTTCTTGTCTGCCTCTAGTTTCATGCGTCTGGTGAATGCCTCCTTATTTTCTTGAGTAAGCCGTCTAATGTCATCATTCAACTGATCAACTTCATGTTGGTCCTGTCAATGAAGGCTTCATTAAGTAAAAAAATGTGGCATATTTACTTATTTACCAAGGTTAAAGTAAATTTATTTACCAAAATTAAAAAAACGAGTTAGGTAAAGAAAAACTGGATATCACATTGCAGAGAGGGAATAAGGAAGAAGTGAGTGTTCAGATATTTGGGAATAGACTTTTCAGCAGATGTTTTTATGAAGGACAAGGTTAACCATAGAATTGATGAAGGAAAGGTGGGTGGTGCATTGAGGCATCTGTGGAGACAGAAGGAAATGTATGAGAGTATAGTAGTACCAACACTCTTGAATGGGTGTGAAGCATGGGTTGTAAATGCTGCAGAGAAGAGGAGGGTGGAGGCAGTGGAGATGGCATGTTTAGTGGCAATGGGTGGTTTGAATGTTACAAAGAGAATTTGTAGTGCAGAAATTAGGTGGTGTGGAGTTACTAAAAGTATTATTCAGAGGGCTGAAGAGAGGTTCCTAGGTGGTTTGGTCATTTAGAGGATGGAGCAAAACAAGATGACTTGGAGGGTGTAAAAATCTGTAGTGGAGTGAGGAGGGGTAGGGGTCATCCTAGGAAAGAATGGAGGAGGTAAAAAAGGTATGTGCAAGGAGCTTGGACATACAGCTGGCATGTGTGAGTGTGTTAGATAAGAGTAAATGGAGAAGAATGGTTTATGGGACTTGGCAAGCTGTTGAGTGTGAGTAGTGTAATATTTTGTGAAGGGATTCAGGGAAACCGGTTAACCAGACCTGAGTCCTGGAGGTGGGAAGTACAATGCCTGCACTTTAAAGGAGTAGTTTGGGATATCTGCTGGAGGAGGCTGGAGGCAGTGGAGATGTCGTGTCAAAGGGCAATGTGTGGTGTAAATATTATGCAGAGAATTTGTAGTGTAGAAATTAGTAGGCATGGAGCTAATAAAAGTATTATTCAGAGGGCTGAGGAGGGGTTGTTGAGGTGGTTTGGTCATTTAGAGAGGGTGGAGCAAAACAGGTTGACTTGAAGGGTGCATATTATTATAATCAAAAAGCGCTAAGCCACAAGGGCTATACAGCATTGAAGGGTGTATAAATCTGTAGTGGAGGGGAGGAGGGGTAAAGAATGTCCTAGGAAAAGATGGAGGAAGTGTGATGTAGGTCATCATTTTCTTGTCAGGTCACAGTAGGACCTGTCTAGCTTAGGTGCTAATTGGCCACACCCTAGAGGTGTCAAAGACTGTAGTATCACGTGGGAGAACACCTGGGTCTCTCAGGTCTTTTGTTCTAGACGGTGACATAAAGGAGGGGTTGTTGATAACTCTGGAGAAGTCTATCCTTTGTGTAAAGCACACGTGGTGTGCCCCCATAGAGGGTGATCCCCAAAACCCCGAGTTAAGGGCAGGAAGGGGTCATAAAGGACCATATAGACCCAAGGAAACAGCTAAGAAGAATTTAGGCAGAGATTTTACCTGTGTGCAGAGCTCTGGACAGAGGACTGACAGAGCAGTACTCTGGAAAATTATTAAGAAAATAGTAGAAAACCCAGATGGGTGTGTAAATAAATGTATGACTATCATTTTTTTTACTTCATATGTAATAACAGATTAAAACTAATATATAAAAACAAACCTGAACACTAAGGGTGGCCATGAGGTCTTGGTGCAGCTCAGATTCCAAACCCTCCTTAGTGGCCATCATAGCCTCCAAGTTTGCTTTCAGCTGAGTCAGTGATCGCTCCTTAGGCTGCTTGGTGCGCTCAAGACCTGACTGTTCCTCTTTCATTAAACGAATATCTGTCTTCACCTTCTCAAATAAGTTCCTACAGAAGAAAATTATTGAATTTCTTTGGTAAATGCAGTAACACACTTTCACAACTTAGTGTAAAAAAACAATTTTTTTTTTAATGAAAGCAAAGCCACACATTATTTTTTTTCAACAAATCAGCCACATCCCACAGAGGCAGGGTGACCTAAAAAGAAAAACTTACTTTTTTTTTTTTCACACTGGCCATCTTCCACCGAGGCAGGGTGACAACCCCCCTCCCCCAAATACACACACACAGCTACAGCAGTTTTGATGTTACTCCAAACAGCCAATATCACAAACCCCTCCTCTAAAGTGCAAGCATTGTATTACCCATCTCCAGGATAACCGGTTTCCCTAAATTCCTTCACAAACATTACCCTGCTTACACAACAGCTCGTCAAGTCCCAAAAGACCATTCACCTCCACTCCTATCTTAAGATGCTCACATATGACACCAAAAGTACGAAATTTGATGGAAAACTTAAGGAATTACGCTCTTGTGAAGTTAGCGACCTCGGCAATATTTACAAATCGGCGATTTTGCCTACTTTTGAGCCCTATTTTCGGCTAATTCCATTGTTCCAGTCGACCAAACTCATAACTAGTTTTTTAGAACTCCATTTGTTCTATCGATTGCATACAAGAAACTGCCCATTTACCAATTTCAACTGCCCAATAAAGTGGTCAGAAATTGGCAATTTGGCCAATTTCACGCAAATTAAAAAATATGCCAATTTCAAAATAGGGTCCAGAATGAACAATGCAGACATTCCTGGCTCTAAAATAACATTTTCTTTCTTCATCAGTCACGTCTCCAGGCCCCTCTGATATTACTCTTGCTTTCTATTTTGAATTTTTATTCAAACAAAAAATAGAAGATTTACTGTTATGCAGACTACTGCAATATTGTAATAATTGTATAAATATCGTCAACCCACTCATGACTGCATATTAGAATGGCTAGTTGGACATTTATTGGACAATTATATCATTTATTTAATCTTGAACATCAGCAAAATCAAACATTTCCCGTACTTTGAGCTCCATCTGAAGGTCCTTTTCATAATAAAACCAATCAAGAATATAACGAGAATATAACCATAAAAACTACATAAAAATACACCTCAAAGTCGGCCTTTTAATCTAAAAACACAGTCGGAGTTTTTTTTTTTTTGTTATGCACTGCGTGCTGCAGGATTTTTTTATATGGTGCACATTGACCCATTCTCTCACATGTGGGCCTACCAGCTTTCTCCTGCTTGATCTGAAGCCACTAGAATTTTTTAGTATATATACGTCAAACACGGTGGCTCGTAAGATGTATATACGTATACGACTGAAACAGTCAAAGGGTTAAGCCCCGTTCAGTCTAGATATTGTGTTCCACTGTATTGCAGCTAATCAAGTCCTCACCTCAACTGTGTTCATTTGTTTTGCCTGGAAGACATATAGGGCAAACTGTTGCAGTAATTTTCATCTTGCAAATCCAGTGTTGCCTCTAAGCAAATTAATTCCCTTATGTATAAACTGTTTAATGAAATCATTGCTCCTTCACTACAAAACTTGAATAATTATGGAAAAAGACAAATACGGTATAAAGAAACAATGCTATAACTGTAGAAAAGCATGAATACTTACTTGGCTTTGCTGTTTTTTATTTCAGTTTTCTGCATTTCTGAGACAATCTTGTTTATTTCTTGCTCTGTGTTTCTCAAGGTATCCTGTAAAGTTCTCAGCTCAGTCTCAGCTGAAGTGATCTGATCTCTCAACTCTGATCTTGTCTTCTGGATCTCCAGACGAGACCGTGAAGTGTTGAAATACCCACCAGTTAGAGACCCCTTACTTGACACCTAGTTAAAAAATAACAGAAAACATTATAATTATCCTTATAAAGATACATTTTTAAAATGTTATACACTCCCAAACTATTCCACCATCCTCTGCAACTTCTCTCTAAAATAAACTGTAAGTATAGCACCATCAGCAAAGAACAACTATAACAATTTCTACTTTATGAAATGATTTATGCTTTAAACCCACACCACTTCCACACATTAACATTAGCAATATAATCTACAACTAAAAAAAAAAAAAAAAAAAAAATTACATACCTAAACTCTTGAGGTACTGTATTTCCCACCTCCAGTACTCAAGTCCGGCCTGACGATTTCCCTGAACCCCTTCATAAATGTTACCATTCTCACACTCCAACAGCATGTCAAGTCATAAAAACCATTTGTCTCCACTTGCTCCTATCTAGCACGCTCACACATACTTGCTGGAAGTTCAAGCCTCTTGCACACAAAACCTCATTTACCCCCTCCCTCCAACCTTTCCTAGGCTGACCCCTACCCCACCTTCTTTCCTCCACAGATTTATACACTCTCCAAGTCATTCTATTTCATTCCATCCTCTCTAAATGTCCCAACCACCTCAACAACCCCTCCTCAGCCCTCTGGATAATACTTTTAGTAACCCCATACTTTCTCCTAATTTCCAAACTTCGGATTCTAGGCATTATCTTCTCATCATTGTACGGTGTTATTACATTCATGGAGGAGAGGGGTCAAGGGGTGGTTCAATAAATCCATTGTGATGACCCAGTACCTTGAGGAATGTAAGGAATTCAGACTCAATTTAAGAAATTGGAGCATCAAGGAACCTCTGTTCAGGGAAGATTTTTGTTGGAACCCTAGATTTAAAACTTATTCTCAGGGTCATGGAAAAAAAAAATTCTTACGAAATTATAATCTTTCTTCCAAGGTAATGAAACTAAATTTATGAAATTTGATGGAAAACTATGGAATTATGCACTCACAAAGTTAGCAGTCTCAGCGATTTTTACGCACTGGGGATTTCACCCACTTTAAGCCCTATTTTTGGCCAATTCTACTGTTCCAATCGACCAAACTCAGCTATTTCACTAGTATTCCTTCTATTTTAACAACTGAGTACAAGAAGCTGCACATTTATCTATTTCAACTACCCTATAAAATGATCAAAAGTCAGCAATTTGGACAATTTCACATAAAAAAAAAAAAAAAAAAAAAAATGCTAATTTAAAAATACATTTCCTTCGTTAGTTATGTCCACAGGCATCTCCAATATTAAGCTCGCTTTCTACTTTTGAAATTTTTATTCACAAAAAAAATCAATGATTTACTGTTATGCAGCCTACTGCATTATTGTAATAACTGTATAAATAATGTCAGCGCATTTGAGAACACATATTACAAACTGACTGGATGCATTATGTAATTTGTGTACTCTGGAATACTGGAAAAAATCAAACATTTCCACTAATTTGCGAGCTAAATTTCAAGCTACTTCCGGTCCTAAAACCATTGAAAATCACCTCTATTTCTGTAATATATCTTCCATTCTATCAAATGAGACTAAGAAACCAATAATACAACCATAAATACCATATGAAAAATACACCAAAGTCACTGTTTTAAACCAAAGACACGTTTGCAATTTTTTCTCGTGCACTGCATGCTGCAGGATTTTTTATATATGGTGCCCACTTATCACACAGACCCATTCTCTCATATCTAGGACCAAATTTAGTGCTCACAGCTTATCTGAGAGAGCTGAGCTCATCACGAAGAACAATGGGACTGGCCCGGGCTTCAAAGCTGTTGTACAACAAAACCCACCTTGAAAGAATTAAAAAGTAAGACTGACAAGACACAGATCAAAGCATGAAAGAAAACCACTTCAATTAATAAAATTACTATAAATAATTATATACATTTAAAACAATTTACAAATAAACTCGGTTTATAACCTACCTGATCTCCATCGAGAGTAACGCAGTCGAGCCGTGTTGAACGAGCAAGATGCGTAGCCACTTCTAAATTACGACATATTAAAGTACGGCCAAAAATATATTTTAGAGCTTTATGATAGCGTTGAGAGTAAGTCAGCTTGCTTACCATCGGGATGGCATCCTGTAATTAATTTTAATGATTAGAGTACAGTAAGTTAAAAAAATTTTTTTTTCAACAAGTCGGCCGTCTCCCACCGAGGCAGGGTGACCCAAAAAAGAAAGAAAATCCCCAAAAAGAAAATACTTTCATCATCATTCAACACTTTCACCACACTCACACATTATCACTGTTTTTGCAGAGGTGCTCAGAATACAACAGTTTAGAAGCATACACATATAAAGATACACAACATATCCCTCCAAACTGCCAATATCCCAAACCCCTCCTTTAAAGTGCAGGCATTGTACTTCCCATTTCCAGGACTCAAGTCTGACTATATGAAAATATATATATATATACAGGTCTCCCTCAACATTCGCGTTTTCAACTTTCGCTGGCTTCACACATTCGCGAATTCCCAGCCGCCAAATCATATTTAAGTTTCCCGCCACCTGCGAGTCCCTACTACCCTCCCTCCGACCCCCGCAACTGGCAGCCAGCCCTCCCACCAGTGTGGTGAGTGTTTTGTTTGTTCATTATTTGCTATTAAACTACAGTATAAATAATGTAAACTCATTCATGACTGCATATTGGAATGGCTATTCAGACAGGTACTGGACGGTGACATCATGTGTTTACTCTTGAACACAGCAAAGAATCAAACATTTCTGCTGCTGCTAATAATAACAATAATAATAAATGCGATAGAAATGAAGAAGGAAATTGTACAAAAATACAAGGGAGTGGTTGACACATCGTCAGTCAGTGGGGCTTTGTTTATGCTGGAGAGAGCATTAGTCTCCGTGCTCTTCCAAACACTTCACAATAATTCGTTGTGTTTGGTGCTTGTAGATTGAGTGTGACTGGAGTGGTAGAGGCAGCGGTTGAGGCAGTGGGTGAGGCAGTGGTTGAGGCAGCGGGTGAGGCAGTGGGTGAGGCAGCGGGTGAGGCAGTGGGTGAGGCAGCGGTTGAGGCAGCGGGTGAGGCAGTGGGTGAGGCAGCGGCTGAGGCAGTGGGTGAGGCAGTGGGTGAGGCAGCAGTTGAGGCAGCGGTTGAGGCAGTGGTTGAGGCAGCGGTTGAGGCAGCGGTTGAGGCAGCGGTTGAGGCAGCAGTTGAGGCAGTGGGTGAGGCAGCGGTTGAGGCAGTGGTATTTAATAACATACATGTTATTAATAATAAGTAATAATAATAACACATGTTATTAATAATATGTACTATTATTATTTATAACATATATGTTATTAAATACCATTGCCTCACCCAGTGCCTCAACCGCTGCCTCTACCGCTCCAGTCGCACTCAATCTACAAGCACCAAACAATGAATTATTGTGAAATGTTTGGAAGAGCACGGAGACTAATGCTCACTCCAGCATAAACAAAGCCACACTGACTGACGATGTGTCAACCACTCCCTCGTATTTTTGTACAATTTCCTTCTTCAATTCTATTGCATTTATTATTATTATTATTATTGTTGTTATTATTAGCAGTAGCAGAAATATTTGATTCTTTGCTGTGTTCAAGAGTAAACACATGATGTCACCGTCCAGTACCTGTCTGAATAGCCATTTCAATATGCAGTCATGAATGAGTTTACATTATTTATACTGTAGTTTAATAGCAAATAATGAACAAACAAAACACTCACCACACTGGTGGGAGGGCTGGCTGCCAGTTGCGGGGGTCGGAGGGAGGGTAGTAGGGACTCTCAGTAGTTGAGGAAGTGATGGAGGCAGTGGTATTTAATAACATACATGTTATTAAACCATAACATGTATGTATTTAGTACAATTTATGATGTTTTCATGTATTTTATGGTTGTTCATGGTTCAACAAGTTAAGGAAGCAGTATTGTATTATATTTCCCAACAATATATTGGAGCACCTAAACATTCGTGTTTTTCAACATTCGCGAGGCTCTTGATCATACACTGTTCAGGCCTTGTAAACTTTAAAATAAAATCTATTTAACCCTTAAATTGTCCAAACGTAGATCTATGTTGACGTGCGTAGTGCTCCGAACGTAGATCTACGTCCGATTTTACACGCTTTCAAATGGAGAAAATCAACGTAGATCTATGTTTGGACAGTTTAAGGGTTAATTTCCTAAAATTAAGGCTAACCATAGGCAAGTAGTAAGATTATATAATATACAGTATTACAAATTTTAGCTAGGTAAGCATATATGTGTACAGTACTCACGAAATCGTAATGACACGATTGAAGACAAACGCGACAGTCTGGAGTTTTGAGACTGACCGCGGCATCAAACCCCACCCGTTGTATGGTTTATGTGTACAGCATTTAGATAAAGGTAGCGAAGTTTTTATTGCATTTATGGATTTAGAAAAGGCATATGATAGAGTGGATAGGGGAGCAATGTGGCAGATGTTGCAGGTATATGGAATAGGTGGTAAGTTACTAAATGCTGTAATGAGTTTTTATGAGGATAGTGAGGCCCAGGTTAGGGTTTGTAGAAGAGAGGGAGACTACTTCCCAGTAAAAGTAGGTCTTAGACAGGGATGTGTAATGTCACCATGGCTGTTTAATATATTTATAGATGGGGTTGTAAAAGAAGTAAATGCTAGGGTGTTCAGGAGAGGGGTGGGATTAAATTATGGGGAATTAAATACAAAATGGTAATTGACACAGATGCTTTTTGCTGATGATACTATGCTTATGGGAGATTCTAAAGAAAAATTGCCAAGGTTAGTGGATGAGATTGGGAGTGTGTGTAAAGGTAGAAAGTTGAAAGTGAACATAGAAAAGAGTAAAGTGATTTTTGTTTTTTTCAACAAGTCGGCCGTCTCCCACCGAGGCAGGGTGACTCAAAAACGAAAGAAAATCCCCAAAAGGAACATACTTTCATCATCCAACACTTTCACCTCACTCACACATAATCACTGTTTTTGCAGAGGTGCTCAGAACAAAACAGTTTAGAAGCATATACATATAAAGATACACAACATATCCGTCCAAACTGCTAATATCCTAAAACCCCTCATTTAGAGTGCAGGCATTGTACTTCCCATTTCCAGGACTCAAGTCCGGCTATATAAAAATAACTGGTTTCCCTGAATCCCTTCACTAAATATTACCCTGCTCACACTCCAACAGATCGTCAGGTCCCAAATACCATTCTTCTTCATTCACTCCTATCGAACACGCTCATGCACGCCCGCTGGAAGTCCAAGCCCCTCGCCCACAAAACCTCCCTTACCCCTTCCTTCCAACCTTTCCGAGGACAACCCCTACCCCGCCTTCCTTCTCCTACAGATTTAAATGCTCTCCATGTCATTCTACTTTGATCCATTCTCTTTAAATGACCAAACCACCTCAACAACCCCTCTTCATTTGATACCCTCATGAGGGCCTCAAATGATTTAGATAAAGAAAAATTGGATATCAAATTGGGGAGGAGGAGTATGGAAGAAGTGAATGTTTTCAGATACTTGGGAGTTGACGTGTCGGCGGATGGATTTATGAAGGATGAGGTTAATCATAGAATTGATGAGGGAAAAAAGGTGAGTGGTGCGTTGAGGTATATGTGGAGTCAAAAAACGTTATCTATGGAGGCAAAGAAGGGAATGTATGAAAGTATAGTAGTACCAACACTCTTATATGGGTGTGAAGCTTGGGTGGTAAATGCAGCAGCGAGGAGACGGTTGGAGGCAGTGGAGATGTCCTGTCTAAGGGCAATGTGTAGTGTAAATATTATGCAGAAAATTTGGAGTGTGGAAATTAGGAGAAGGTGTGGAATTAATAAAAGTATTAGTCAGAGGGCAGAAGAGGGGTTGTTGAGGTGGTTTGGTCATTTAGAGAGAATGGATCAAAGTAGAATGACATGGAAAGCATATAAATCTATAG